TATATATATATTAGGGCTTGTAAGCGATTCAAATTTTTAATCTAATTAATTACATGATGTGGCGATTAATTAATCTAATTAATCGCCCATCAAATGTAGCTGAGAGATTACTCCCAAAATATGATTTAAAGTATTTTTTGTGTAAAGCATCAAATAGACATTACAAAAAATTGCTTCAGCAAGAAATATTTTGTTTGAACAAATTTATTACATATACTCTTTTGGACCATGAGGGTGAGTAAATGATGACACAATTGTCATTTTTGGGTGGGGGAACTATACCTTTAATAATTAATTTTATTAATATTACTATGTAAATATGAAATTATTTCTTTAATGAAATGATACTCTAAATAATAAACTAAAACTGCCAGTAGGTGGTGGTAAATGTCTTTAAGTCATCGAGTCATTCATTCATTCATTTGATTCGTTCAAATGGCTGATTCATTCAGGAGTGAAGTAAATGGTTCTTTATGAATGGTCCATTAAATCATTAGGCTTGTATGACTTGAAGCGGATCATCACCATCAGATCGATCGGTGTGTGACATCAAAGTACCGCAAGAGCTATTAGAGAACAGATGGCTCCTTATGCTTTTGAATCGCTCTCACTTTGTCATACACCGATCGATCTGTGCAGCGCCGCTTCAAAGCCAACGCGCCTATGGCCATGGCCAATGGTTCAACGCGCCAAATGGTTCACCCAATTCGTTCAAATCGTTACCCACATAGGTTTGGGGCGGGGCAAGTGCGTTAAATGCGTTAATAATTTTAGCGAGTTATTTTTCACCGTAATTAATCAATCTAATTAACGTGTTAAATTACCAGCCATATATATATATATATAATTTAAGATGCTGTAGCGTGTCACCACATGGCATGTCAACGCGATTCTGAAGTATAACTGCCCCTTTTGTCATTTTCAAAGCTTACACAGGGTTTTCTGGACAATAGATTGTGCAAGCAAAACGCAGGGATAGTAAACACTAAGGTAAATGATATAATAATTGGGAAATCTGTTAAACAATGATTGAAGTAATGGGATAGGAGCACTAAGGAACTCCATAAGTAAAAGACATTGTGTTGTATTAAAAAGTAGTTAAATGCATCTGTAGCAGACAGTAATGCATTAAAGAGGCATGTGTTAAATGTTGTGTTCACTAGAAGAAAAGATGAGCAGCACCCCAGTATAGTTGGGTACATATCTGTAATTGACAGAAAAAATGACAAAGTGCTAAGAAGAGAGTGAACTAGAGACTGCTTAGTAGTCTGATGGACTGAAGATTTAAAAAAAATCTTGTGAAAACAAAACACTTCTAATTTGTTATATCCCCATATGGAATATCCATGCTGAACTGGAAACATCCGTAATAGCAAACTTGATAAGATGGCAAGTGTCTGTGTTAGCCTTTTTCACAATGTATTTTAAGCAACTTTAGCATACTTGATGCAAGGTCATTTTGAGCTGTAATATTTATTATAAGGTTAGTTATGTAACAACTGTCATTTTATACAGATCATGCCAAAAGAAAAGGCTATAAAACAAGATGGTTTGATATGAATTTTATTGAAATAGTAATGTAGAGAGTGCAAAAAAATAACTTGGAAGAATATTCACATCACCAAAATCTATATAATAATAATTGGGGAGGTGGAAGCCACAGTTACAATTCACAGACATTTGCGAGGACTTTACATATAGACATTAGAGCTTACTTTAGGATATATTAGCAAAAGTACTATACAATGTAAAGATATATTAGTTTACATCATAAATTGAGAAAATAGAGTAAGAGAATGAGAATCAAACATACACGTAGATGGAAACATACAACAGCGAATAAAAAAGGCCAGGAAAGAGAATATAGTTGTAAAGTACTGTAGTCTCAAAGTTATGATCAATTCTCGCCCTCTGAGCATTAATATTCTCAATCAATGAAAGACTGACATGTTTGGCAGAGACTTGTTGTATAATGCGAGAATATACAAAAAGAGAGATAAATGAAATAGTTTTATTGGAAGTATTGAAGAAGGTAAATGATTGATGAGAGTTCACAGATACACTGCTTCAACTTCACTATCTCAGAGCAAAAATCCAAGATGGATGAAGTGACAAAAATAATAACACCTTTCAAAGTCCACAGTACCTGGTGAAGAGCAAATGCACAGCGGTTCTCCAAAACAGAGCAGGATGCCATCTTGTTTTAAGGGAACAAGTTTATTTAAAGGTGAATTTTTCAAGTTATATAAATTCTTGTATCCAAACCCTCCACAGACTCTACATTATAATTACTGTATGAAATTGTTATTTAGGAAACATAAGTGTTTGCTATGATCTTGTAGTGTAGAGCAGAACCATTTGCAACCATTTATAGTGGGATAACCTTAACAGTTTTCTCTAATAATACAAAATAATGTTCCCTATTTTCAGTTTACTCAGTTACTTTCCTCTTTACACATAAAAAAAGCTTCTTATCCATCACATACAATCAATAACAAGGCTCTTTGCGTTGGAGCCCAAAGATCATTGTTCAGTCCCAAAACGTATGCTGTACTCATGGATCCATAATCCATATCCCAAATATATTTTGTTACATGGAGCACATACTTTATTCTTGAGCGTTCACACTCTCTTAGCATATTTACAACCCTTTTCCTGATACACTTCCCCTTGGTGATTGGCCAGACTGCTTTGTAGACTTCTGGCCGTCACTGTTACCGTCATCGGCAGTTGGATGGCTGTGACCCTGGATGTGACTGGGTGGGGAAGGAGGTGGGTACGAGGGAGGCGGGATGGTCAGGTGTGGTAAAGAAGGCATTGCTGGGCGAGGTGTGGTGGGAAGAGGCGGTGGAGTCGAATGATGGTACGAGCGAGGTCGGGGTGACGGGGAAGAGCTGGCACTCTTTGCCCTCGGAAGGGTCTCGGGATGGTCGCTGATCTGCTCCAGCAACGAAGGCATGTCCCCCTCGATCTTCTCTAACACGGCAGCCATTTGTTTCTCAATTTGTTCGATTACACAATCCATTTGCCAATCCGCACTGGCTCCACTTCCGGGATCTAAACCAGCATACTGTCCAACAGAGTAGGTTGGACAGTACGGGCTACCATACCCTGATGCACCATGGACCATCTCTTGCAGCTCCTGCTCAAATACCGTTTTATCATGGCCGAGACTTAAAGATCCCAATCCTGCATATGTACACTGGATGTTTTTCACAGACTGGCTACCCTTGTCCGCTTGTCCTTTCTTGAACTCTCTGCTCTTAGGATTGACCTCGCAAGTCGCCCCTACTTCCACTGGCCTCTCTGCAACTGCTTCTGGGAGCTGTGTTTGACACCAGCTATTTTTGGCCATATCATGGACTGTGCCTTTTTTGTCTTCTGATTTAAGAGGTGGTTCCTTTCCCACTGACAAGGTACTGGTTTTGGCATCAGAACATGAGCCATGATCCATCGAGAGATTGGCGGCCATTTTGCGTCGATTTGGAGTATCAGGGAAAGGTGATTTCTTCTCGACATTGCCAACAGTTGTGGCCTCTGGCTCCTTGGGGACATTGTTCTCTCGGTTGTCTGAAGTCTTGATAGGCTGGCTGGGTGCTGCTTTCTGGCTCGCTCTTGTTGATAATTTGTCCTCCCTTTTAGAAGTGCCTTCGGTAGACTCTTTCTTGTTCGGCTCATCTGCTTGTACTTTTAAAGAGCTGTTTGATCTGGCAAGGGTCTCTGCTTCTTTCTCTTCTGCTTTTAGGTGTCTTGCTTTCTCCCCTTCTTGATTCTCCGCTGGTCTGACCCTGCTTTCGGCGGACACCTCATGGGACATGCTCACAGTAGAAATGCCACCTGAGTCTGTTTGTATCCCTTTACCATCTAATTCATCCGCTCTGACCCCTTCGCCCTGGCCTTCAACTACCCCATCAGAAGATCCCATTTCAGAGGCTCGGAGACGCTGCATGAATGTGGTGACACGAATCGCTTTCTGAAAGTGAAATGAAGAAATACCAAACCCTTAGTACCTAGTCAATTATAAAGTAACATGAGGTCTTCTTTGCTATGGAGGTGAAATGCATCATTAACAGCATGGCAGTCTGTGGTAGAAGTTTTCCATCTCTATCGCTTTCATGAGACAAACACATTGGAGATGGGCATTTTAGTAATTTCGTCTCTTTTTTTCAGTGTATCAAAACAACCGTTTTTTATCAGTTAAATTAGTTCAACAGCTACAAATTACAGCTGAAAATTACTCCGGAACCCAACAATGAAATTAAAATAAGAGCCGTTTTTGGCTCATTTGTGTTTGTTACTGGCTGCTGACCTGAATGAAATGTTTTTGATATGTATGTGTCATCAACAAAAGCATGATGTGAATCAATGAATCAGGACCACGGTAAGTCATCTGAGGACAAATCACTTTGCCTTCTCTCTCTCTCTCTCTCTCTCTCTTCATAAGGACCACTTTGGTCCTTTCTGGCACACACACAAACACAGGGACAACCTTTCATACACATACATGTGACATTACAATGAATATTCAATCTGGAGATTTGTCTGAGTGAATGAAGGACTAACTGGAATTTAAACTGGAATATTGAGGACACTGTGAGTAAAAGCCAGACGGCATATGACTGAATGCACATGGGACCAGCTGGGCAGTGATAAATTTGTTAGTTACTGGTGTGCAGATACAGGGAGGCTTAAGTACAGTGAGAGTCTTTCCAACAATCAGACTTGAACTACATATTTCCTGAATGATCTCTGCTTGAAGAATCAGGCCAGGCCATGAGACACAGTAGCCATGTATTATTGTACACTAGGTTTGATGCTAAAGGAAATATGATTGCCCAAGTCAAAGATTGTTATACAGAGAAAAGAATCTCTGCCTCTAGGCTGCCCCGCTAATATCAACAGTACCTTCAACTCCTGGGTATAACATGCAAGGAAAAAGCAAACATTAATATAATAACCATCAGAACCTTTATTAAACAACAGCTTTATTTGGTATTACCATCTTTACAGTTACTGTCCTTATCCATTATCCTATTATTTATTGTGCCGTTTTCTAGAAGAGTGATTAATACAATCATTAGAGGCACATGGCAAGTTGTACATGACTTTTGTGTGTGTAGATTCCTCTTACCCTCCACTTGGCCTTTGCAAAGTTTTTCTCAAATTGAGCACAGACTCCTTCCTTCAGATTCTTTTCCGAAGCCCCATTTCCAGCAATCCTGGCCAAAAAAAAAGAGAAAAAAGAAAACATTAAGTTGACATGTTGTCTCTGAAAAAAGCAACTGTGTGTTTGAGTTTGTTTATTTGTATATAGCTTTACCATTCATGCGAAAGTGCATCTTGTGCAGTAATTCTCAGCATTGGGTCAATGTCCATAAATCTGCAGACGAGCTCTTTTGCTGCATGACATTAAAGAGAAGAAGACTGAAGATTTAAAGCATCAAAAACAAAAAAAGGACATTTTAATTATTACTAGTTTTGATGAGATCAGGAACTTATCAGATCCTGATATTAGTACCAGCAGGGGAAATTTCATCCCAGTATGGTGAATCAAATTCAAATTCTCCAGCAACAATGCGGCAGAAGATTATCCGGTTGTGCATATCAGTGTTCTCCTCCTCAGTTTCATCATAGAACGGAGGGTTTCCAGACAACCTACAAATGAGATTTGTATGATTTGTATTATGTACGGTGGCCGAGAGAGATCAACAGGCTGCAAATAATAAAAAAAACAGATGCAAATAGAAAAAACACCAACAAATTAAGAAAACAGCGTTTTTGCACAAAGGCACCTCATGAAATTGATTTCGGACAGCCTTCTGAGGCAGCGTCACGGTTTAATGATCTACAACAAAATAGAACAAGTTTTGGTGATAACTAAACGAATATTTAATTACTATAATACTGATTTCTCGCTAGAAATAACATCAAAAGTGCAAAAAGTTAGTCAGAAATATACAATTACACACAAACTGACCACCAAATGCAACTTTCAGATGCCATCTTTAATTTTTAGCTCAACCGTCACAGAATGAAACGCACAGGATTGTGGGATATCAAAGGCAGCGAAGGATACATCTATGCTGCCTTCAAAATTCGATCAGAAGAAGGTACCTCCGGAGACAGGAAGTAAAGCAGAATCTGGATCCGGATGTGCCTTGATGCCTTCCTGCCTTGGAATGCTGTCTCCGAAGGCAGCATTTTAGAGCTTTCGGACGCAGTAAATACATGTGCTGCAAATACTCACAACACAACCAAATATAGAAACACTCTGCAAATACGCACAGACCACAACAGAATGTTTAAGGGAACCGCAACAAGTGACGAACCTGACTGGGACATGTTTATCAGTGTCTGCTCAGAAAGGTGAGATTTTTGTTTATTTTAAAATCCTGATCATATGAGTCCTTAGCTTTTTGCATATGATTAGCCTAAATAAGCTGACAAAATACACAATTACTGTCTGTGAAACCTTATGTAAACTGGCTGGCTAATTTGTACAACTTCCCCATGATAATTTACAATGGTTTTATTATTAAAAAAACAAACAAACATGGTTACTATAGTGAAACCCATGGTATTTGTACAGCTGTGGTTATACAAATGGTAATCAATATGCAAAATAAATAAATAAATAAAAAGCAAAAAATATAAAAAACATGGTTACTACACTTTTACTATAATAAAACCATGATTCATTTTTCGTAAGGGTTGTTGGGGTCCCCTTGAAACATTTCCATTGGAGTCTGTGCTACTTGCAACACTTTTTGTATTTGGTCTAATTGTGCGTATTTGCGCATTTCTGTATTTGGTTGTGTTGTGAGTATTTGCAGCACATGTGTTGTCAAACTGATGAAGATGTTCTCTTAATTTGCTAGTGCTTTTTCTATTTGCATATGTTTTTTTAAGTTGCAGGGCGTTGAGCTCTCTTGGCCACCGTAATTATGATCTGTTATGTTGAATCCATTAGTATGTATGTAGGAATATATGCTGTAGATTTACATCAAGGTTTTTCAAACTTTTTGGTGCCATAGATACTGTCTATAACTATAGACAGACAGTTTTTTTAGCAGTTAAAAAAATTGTGATGTCAAAATAAATGGTAAATGTGTTGCTGTTTTGGAACAATGTGCATTTTTGAAACACTAAACAAAAATATTAAAAATGAATCTCATGATTTCTGACCAGTCTTCAGAAAGCAGAAAGCCACAAACTCCTGTTTTAAAGAACCAAACATATAAAGAAAAAGAATCGCTGACAAACCAATTGAGTCTCAACAGAGTGTATCCAACTCCAACTTACAGTATGTACATAATGACCCCCACTGCCCAACAATCGACTGGTCTTCCATAGCGATGACGAGCCACCACTTCAGGAGCTAACAGGAAATATGAGAAACAGTTGTGTAGGTTAGTGCTTCACATACGAGTATAGGTAAATCAAGAGATCATGTGATAAATACCCAGGTACTCGGGTGTCCCGCAGGGCTCAGTGATTGAGCCGTTCTCAAACCTGGACAGGTAGAAATCCCGCAATACGACCTTGTTGTGGTTGCTCTCTCTATAGTACATCAAGTTCTCCAGCTGAAATGACAGAAAAAGGCACAGGATAAAAAACAATCAATACTTTATAGGAGGAAAGACATGGCATTAGGCCAAAGTATGACTGATTAAGAGTTCGCTGTGTCCCAAATAATGTTGATATTCATCTTTCAGCTGGCCAACAGAGACCAGACAGGACACACCCTTCACCTGCTCAATGTGAAGAATGAGTTTTGTCTTTAAAATATAAATCTGAAAACACACAGCTGACCAACTACATATAATATATGAATCTCAGTCTGTGATATTTCAAGCACAAGCCTTAAAAAGAAATGCATCAAAGCTATATCTAAAAAGAAACACCCAGGAGGCAATACAGAATAATGCATTACTGACAAGAATGAGCTTTGAGCAAAAGAGATGCACATATACATGTAACAGAGAATGTCTGATGCTAATATTGTGCACAGCGTGTTGCTGCCGTGCACTAGAGGGCACTACAAACACATGTTGTCTCATGACAAACAGCATCACCACCTTAATTGCTTTAGAACCACAGGAGGTGGAAAAACTGTTTATTACTTTCATTAAACATTGAACATTAATGACACCCAAAGGGAGCATCTGCAATATTACAGACGTACAGTGCTATGAGTCAAAGAGGACTAGGCATTTGACTAATATAACTAATTATCATTTAGTACTCAGCAGACAAAAACATCCCCAGCACATACATACGCAATAACATGTGTTAACACCGAGTTACAGCCTTATAATCATACATTCAGACTCTTTATTAAAGTACAAAAAAGGAAGCAAAAGTACAAGGTATCATTACAAAAGTCATACATCAGCCCAGTTGCATTCCACTTAATGCATATGTTGTTACACTCCGTTATTGAATTATACACAATGCATTTGGACTGCACATATGTACTTTTCATTGATGAATAATATCATATTATGATTGCAAACCCACCTTTAAGTTCCTGTGGACTATGTTGAGGGAGTGAATGTATGCCACTGCTTCTAAGACCTGACGGATCACATTGGCGGCATCTCTCTCTGTGTAGTTCCCCTGGTCTAAGATCCAATCAAACACATCTCCACCTGTGGCTCTGTGAAAAAAATTAATAAGAGAAAAGAAGGGAGATCCGGATGTATTGTAAAGTTAATTCTTATTTAATCAACAGTAAGGTTGTTGGGGCCACAGAAAACTGGAGCCTTGAGCTGAGCGGTGGCCTGGTCAATATAATAAATGATCAGGGGTGGCACTGGCAATATATTAAATAATCAATTAAAATCAAAATCCGTTCTTGTGGTTAATCACCAAACATAAATCAGTTAGTAAATGATAGCATATTAGAAGGATTTTGGTTAACCATTACATAAAAAACCTGGCCAAATTTGCCAAATCTAGCTGCATTCATAAAGAAGGTGTGCAGTTTTTAAATGTCATATTGTTTATTGTTTATAATATAAATATACTAAATATAATTTATTTATTTACTTCTAAGTCATAAATTGAATTCTGGATCAGAAAATGTTTGCTAATACATAAAGTGGTGCACAAATTTGAAACAGTAAAATCTTCTCAAACTCTTATAATTTCAAACAAAATATCTCACACTCAAACTGTTATGATCACAAAATATTTCACACTCAAACTGTTATGATTTCAACAAAATATTATGTTTACTTTGGGGGTATTTTTTTTGAAATAATGACAGTTTGAGAAGATATTCAAAGATTTTACAATCTAACATTTGTTCATAACTTTAGTTACTAGCAAAATGTTCTGATCCAGGCTCACATTTATGACTTAGATTTAGATTTAAATGTAATTTACAAATTCTATCTAGATCAAATTATCTAATGTAGTGCAACTCTGACAAACCTTGACAAGCCACCAAAATGACATGTGAACACTCCAAATATTTCATTTGCAGAATACTAGATTTGCAACCAGCATCATGCAAGCTAAATATAATAGGCTCTTTAAGATTTAAATGGAAATGATAAATTACTAAATATCTAGAAACTATATTTTCTATCATAGTAACTCATTACTGCAATCTTAATAGCTGTAATAGCATGTCAGTGTCATTCATGCAAAAGCAGATGACAGGGTTTTAATAGATCTTAGTTCTGGCTAGATGTGGATATGAAGAAGTGCATTTTCTAGAGTGATGTTCTGATGTAAAGAGACTTGTCCTTGGCCTACTGAATGACACTGGGAAGGGAACATGACTGATCACGGCAAACGGATGTCAGACTCACAGCTCTTGTATGATGAAGAATTCTTTCCTGGTCTCGAATGCATCAATCAGCTGCAGGATGTTTGGGTGTTTGACCCTGGAATGAACACATCACGGCAAAAAGCTGAATAGTTTCTTTATCTCACTTTAAATAGAGAAAAGTGTTTCAAAAAGAGTGAGAAAGGACAGAAATAATCACACCAAGGGTGATACATACAGCATCTCTTACCCTCTCCATCCTTAAAGGAGTAGCTCACCCTGCTACATTTTCAATTTTGTGCTCCAGAGTTTAAAGAAAATTTGAGGTTTGAAATGACACGAGGGCAGAATTTTGAGTTCTGGGTGAACTATCCCTTTAAATTTTCTCTTTGTCCTCTCAGATCAGCACTCTCACAAAACCCTACATCATCTGTTGATATTTTGAGTCACCACGTACATTTTCAAGATCATGATCTCGTTCTTGGCTGCCTTCCGCACTTTCCTGCCATCCTTCTTGAGGAATTTCTTGCACACATAGACCTTGTCCGTCTGTCGTTCCTTAACCAGGCACAGCTCACAAAATTCTTTTCTGCAAAGAGAAATTATTCTGAATGCTGCATTTTATGCTGCAATAAATACCCCTTATGGTTGTAAATCGGTTGTTTTAAGAAGCACACTGCTGTGACAAACACCTATGTATTGGAAGAAATGCATCCTGAATCAAAGTTTAATGAGATCACGTGTCTATAATTGATGGATTTACTTTCTTAAGGCTTTAATGGCAGATCTATGCACACTCACGCCTTGAGGACCTGTCCAATCTCGTATTTGTCAGTGATGTCTGACAGGCTGTTGTATGACCGCCCATCTCGCAGAGCAAGGCACCCAAATGGCATGACAGCATCCACCTGTCCAGAGGAGAACAAGCATACACATACACACACAGCAATCAATCTCAATAAAACTCTAGAGGAGCATGTGTCTTCACAAACTAGCCTCACTAAGACAGGTCCCACACAGAAATGGCGAAATCCTATTTAATGCTGTTTCAACATGACTGAAAAGAGATTTGTTTTGTTTGGTTAAAAAAACAAATTAAATATTTTTGGAACATTAACTGGAAATAGTGGACATTATTCATCCAACATGTGCAGAACAATTTCTGTGTAAAACATTCTTGTGAAACAATCCATTCCATTACACAGAAATTCATTCTGCCTATGAATAAGGCCCACTGATTATAGGACACTTACTGGAACAAGGGTACAAGGTTTTTCAACAAAGAATTATTAAAATGAGATGTGTTTAGCCCTCAGAAACGTTTTTAAGGAAATCTGACAAAATAATATATTACATTTATTTTCCATTCATTTTGGGTTAACAGTTTTTTTTTCCTGTTTGGGGCATGTCTGAACATAGCATAAAATGCTGATCTGTGTGATTTCATTATATTCTAGCAATAAAATTAAATAAATAAGTGAAAATTGATAATGTATCAGGGTTGTAAGTCACAGGTTTGCAGATTTTGCTTATTAAGCTGTCTCTCACTAGTGGCTAGCTAGTTTGGGACCAAATGTTAGTTTTGTTAGTTAATAATAAACTTATATTTCCCATATTTGCATAATAATAAACAGCATGCTTTTGTCTCTATTAAAAATGCAACATCACATAAAATTGTCAAATACACACACACACACACACACACGCATACATGCATATACAGTGGGTACGGAAAGTATTCAGACCCCCTTACATTTTTCACTCTTTGTTATATTGCAGCCATTTGCTAAAATCATTTAAGTTAATTTTTTTCCCTCATTAATGTACACACAGCACCCCATATTGACAGAAAAACACAGAATTGTTGACATTTTTGCAGATTTATTAAAAAAGAAAAACTGAAATATCACATGGTCCTAAGTATTCAGACCCTTTGCTCAGTATTTAGTAGAAGCACCCTTTTGATCTAATACAGCCATGAGTCTTTTTGGGAAAGACCCAACAAGTTTTTCACACCTGGATTTGGGAATCCTCTGCCATTCCTCCTTGCAGAGCCTCTCCAGTTCTGGCAGGTTGGATGGTAAACGTTGGTGGACAGCAATTTTTAGG